AACTTTTGGAGCTTCTGCTGCATCTTCATAGTTGTGCGGGAGATTCACCAACCCTAAAGAAGTCCAAAAGAAGTCCAAATACACCACTGATCACTGGTTCTCAACAGCATTAATCTAAAACACATACTTCCATGGTTGTCTTAATACTTTTTCCTGTCCAGAGGCCTCTGTGTCATGTGAATTTCCAAAGCTAACTCAAGGACCATCATATGATTAGCAGCGCTGCCTAAAGTTTTAGTGGTGAAAGATTTGCATTAAAGAGTAAAAACTCCAGTTAACAGGTCAGGGCATGTTGTGTCACGCTGTTGCTACTTCAGTTTCTCAGAGAGCCTCACCCTCTTCTCTGCGGTGTTTCTGTACCAGCTCGTAGAAGGAAGAAAAAAAAAACAAACACGCTATGAGGACTTTAAATACATTAAAATCAGGGTGTGTCTGAAGACTACTACTTTTATGAACATGTGACTAAAATTATGTTAGAATTGTGATTAATTATCTGTTTTTAAAAAAGCGTTTAAAGCTTTGCAGACACTGAGTTGAGAAAGAATGACTACAATGTATACTGGTACCGTACTGGTACAGTAATTACTGGACCCTGACAGTTAACAGCATGCCAGTTTGTAAACAAACATCTTTATACGTCGAAAGCAGGTTATACTGGAAGACTGCTACTTTTATTAATATGTGACAGATGATGTTAGAATTATAAATAATTATAATAAAAATGTTTAAACCTTGGTGGACAATGCACTGAGAAAGAATGATTATCAACAAAATGACTTCACGCAAAGGATGTGTTATAAAAGATGTTTTACAATCTGTACCAGTACAGACTTGCCCCTGACGGTTAAGTTTTTTCACCTCGTGTTCCTCCCATCTTCTGTCTCAAATTCCATAGAAGATGCAAAGGCATTACGAAGAAGCTTTAGCATATGGCATGTATCCAGGATCACATGCACTTTTTAGGTCCATGAGGAGCAAGGCCTGGATGGCGAGAGCGTCAATTTCACCAGTGCATATATCTACTGGTTCCCTGTCATCTTGTGGATGTAAATTTCATCCATCATTAGAGCACACACCTTTTCCTTTCCTTGTTCTCTGTTTGCCTATACATGACTTTGTAGTTCTTTAAAATATGCTACAGTAAAGCTAGGATCAAATGAGACACTACTGTACCAATTGCAGATGGTGTGACTGGGTGGGAGCGCTTTATTAAAATTCTCATTCCCATACTCATATGCCTTTGGGGTATGGTGGCAAAAGTGCAGTGTGGTGGAAAACTGCTCCTCAGAGTACTTAGCTGACTTTTTACCCTCTTGTATTTAACGCAATATGTGTTTTGGCACTTCATTGATTGACTCAGGCAAAGATGCACACTGATTTGATATCAACAGCTTTTAGTTCTTTGATGACACTTTTTAACTTTTGTCTTTAAACGCATAGACCAGGTAGGCAACTCCAGGCCTCAAGTGCGAGTGTCCTGTAGGTTTTAGATATCACTCTGTGTCAACAGACCTGAATCAAATGATTAGTTCATTACCAGGCCTCTGGAGAACTTCAAGTCATGTTGAGGAGGTCATTTAGCCATTTAAATCAGCTGTGATGGATCAAAGACAAATCTAAATGCCTGCAGGACACCAGCACTTGAGGCCTCGAGTTGCCCAGACCTGGCATAGACCTTTGGCATTGCAATCTCAGCTATTTCATGTATGTTGTGTTTACAAGGTTCTATAATAAAGGAAGCAAATTAGTACTTTGCTGTTACCCTGTCAGACCAGGGGTGCCACTAATGAGGCTGGGCAAGAGAGGGGAGAGAAGAAGAAAGTAGAGAGAGAGGTAAAAAGATGGAGTGCCGCTGTAAAGCCTGAAATAAAGTGTTGAACTCAGACGTCGTCTACCTGATTACAAACTCAACAAATTGGCGACGAGGATGAGCGCTTCAGTACCGAGCCCACCGCCCTTTTTGCAACGTGCAGGTGAGCCGCCGATACCGTTTATGACGTGGTGCAAATTCTTTGAGAACTACATGCTAGCGATAGATGCCACGGGAGAAACATGGCCGGAGAAACATGGGATCAGAGGGACAACGACTGTTCTACACACTGCTGAATCAAGGTACAACGTTTGCTGAAGCCATGACGGCGCTTGAAAACCATTTTGTCCCTAAAGTGAATGTAGTGGCATGCAGGCACACATTCAGACAGCGAGTTCAGCGGGCTGATGAAACTGTAACCCAGTATGTTGCCGCCCTCAGAGCGCTAGCTGTGCCATTGTGGTTTTGGAGTAATGGAGGGTGAAATGATTCGGGATCAACTTGTTGCTAATGCTAATCTCAGTGTTGTTAACCCTCTCAGGCTCAAATTAAGTTTTTTGTTGCTAATGCACAACCAAGTCCTGCAGTGGTACTTCTGAGTAAAAAAAACTGATAAAATATGTATGTGGGGTAATCAGGTTGTTAGTTTTTAACTGTCTCAAATCGGCAACGTCTGCCTTGAGAGGGTTAAAGATAAATTGCTGCTGGAGGAGGACCTTACATTGGACAAGGCAGTTACTATTACGTGTCAGGTGGAGGCTGCGGTAAGGAATGCTACACTCCTCTCTACTGCGCCCACAGCCCAGACTGCTGCAGTACAAGCTGTGGAGGTGAAGGACGCACGTCTTCAGGGAAAAAGAGGAGCGCGACCAGCTCAAGCCCGTAGACCTACATCTAAAGAATGGCACAAAAAGGCAAATGATAAAGAGTAACAGCGTCATTGTTTCAGATGTGGATCTGAGAAACACCTGGCTAATGATAAAAACTGTCCAGCAGCAAAAGTAAAATGTGATGAATGCAACAAAAAAGGGCACTTCGCCAGAGTTTGTAAATCAGCTGTAGTAGTGGTCAGGGAAGTAGTTGTTCCCGAGTTTACAGTCTTATGTGTTGATGATCACAAACTGATGACTGCAGCATGTGATAAGATTACATGCAAAATGAACATTGAAACACCACAGGGAAACTCTCAGGTTCTGGAGTTAATTGTGGATACAGGAGCTTCAGTATCTATCCTTCCAGAAGCCATCTACTAATAACATTTTCCACCCTGTGCTTTGACTGAACTGAAAGTTAAGCTTGTCACTTATGCAAAAGGTGACGTGCCTGTCATTGGCTGCCTACAGGCTTCAGTGAGGGTTGCAAACAATAACAGAACAGTGCCAGGATCATTCTTCATAGTTAATGATGGATCACCTTTGCTGGGGTTGAACTTAATTAAAGCACTTAACATTGATATCATTGCTGGAAAAGTCATCAACAAAGGAGAGGATCCTGCAAGAGGATCACCAGCCAGTAAACAAACATGCATGGTGAATAACATTGATTGTTCTTCTTCCCATCACCTCGGAGCTGTTAAAGGGTTCATCCACAAAGTTCAAGTGAACAAGACAGTACAGCCGGTTTGTCAAAAACTGCGGCATCTACCACTCAGCATACGTGAGGAGGTGTCAGCTGAATTTAAACGTCTACTCCAAGCAGACATCATCGAACCAGTGGATGCAGCTGAATGGGTGAGTCCTCTAGTGGTTGCAAGAAAAAGTAAGGGAGGCTTAAGACTTTGTGTGGATCTGCGTGAACCTAACAAGAGTGTGATCATGGACTGTTACCCTCTTCCTCACATGGAGGATTTGTTCACACAGCTGGCTGGGGCTACACATTATAGCCAGATTGATTTAAGTTCAGCTTATCATCAACTGCCTCTTCACCCTGATAGCCAAAGCCTCACAGCATTCATAACCCATGAAGGACTCTTCCAATTTACCCGAGTCCCATTTGGACTTGCTTCAGCCCCTTCTGCCTTCCAAAAGATGATGCAAACAGTCCTAAGAGACCAGACAGGAGTACAGAACTACTTGGATGACATAATAGTGTATGGACATTCCAGAGAAGAGCATGATGAATGATTACAGGCTGTCATCCCCCAGATAGCAAGGAGACATTGAACAGATGTTGATTTTCCATCTGAACCATCAGAATCGTCAGGATTGAAATGTCAACACAAAACCAATGTTGAAACAACATTGAAATACTGATGAAACCTTACACTGACATTGAAATAACATTGATTCACTGTTGTTCTGTCATCGTTGATTGTTGATCTATTTATAGTTGACAAGGTGACAACAATCACGTTGAAAAACCATCGATTTATGGTTGAGCGGGAAATTAAAGCTGCTACCACTTGGACTATTCCGCAGCACCCCTATCACATTGGTACATCCCTCCAGGTAACCATTGACTTGGTTGTAGAGCTTGTAGAGCGGGACATTAGATTTACTCTCAGCGGAATTGACCGGAGAAGGCATCAGTTCATGCACTGCACTGGCCTGCACCACGATTAGTATAAGGTAAGAATGAATGACTTTTGTTCTATTAGTTATTTCCACGGTTGCATTTGAATAACAGTAAAAAAAACCAAACAAACTTGTTAATGTAAAGTTTCGGATAAAATGTGGGAGCCCGAAATTGTGTCTACTTTCATCTTACAATCCGGCAACAAATAAATTGCACTGCAAACAAAGTCTATCAACAAAGAAAACATTTTCGTTTCATACTTTTCCGTTATATTCCCTTACAAAGCTAGCTTTAACGCTTCGAGGGTTCCATTGTTCTTGCCGTCGCCTCGGCGCTTGACCCAGACTTTCGCTCTGTAGTTGCTTTTTAGCATAGTACTACAAACAATTGTAAATCTGTGATATATGATTGATAAACGTAAAGGTAACTGTATAAATGTGTTCAATGACTTTGTTACTTTTAATGATTGGTGAGCACCCGCTTCGATTCGCACTCAATTCAAACTTTATGTTGCACGCTCACCTAACTTTACGCTGCACGCTCACCTAACTTGCGTTTGCACCTTTTGTCCACACGTAAACTGCGTTTAGCATTTACGTGTGGACGAGGAAGACGGAGAAAACGCAGCGTCAAAGGTGTGCGCCTATTTTGACACCACACTGTGCGCCATGTTTTTGTCTCGGTGCCATGAATTCCTACAATGGCAGACTTAGACAAAATACTGTTAATTTTATTATCTTCAGTGTTTAAATGCTTACATATACGGGTTTGCTTGTAATTGTTGCCTATATACATTTTAAGCTATTATTTATTATTTAGTTCAATCAATAGATCAAGTTTTGTAGTGACTATGAAATATATTGTAATTATCTGTTTCCTGTTTATCCTAGACAGGGCAAAAAAGGACTCCAAATTAAAAAAAAGATAAAAATGAAAGACTGGTGCATTGTGCAGTTTAGCACTGGTGGTACAGAAATAGTCCCTAGATCATGGATAAATGGGGAGAAATTGTCATGGCCTCCATATCCTCCGTGAGACACATTCAGGATCCACGACACAGTAAAGAGGAGAGTTCATCCTGGTGCAACATGGCTCACCTATGCACCAGTCCGACTTCTAATAAGCCATGGTGGGTATCATCTGGATTGGTGTTGTATAAATGTAACAATAACAAGTTTTTCGTGTCCTAATTTATGTCTGGCCATACATTGTGTTTGTACTTCCAGACACATTTCACGAAGCAGAACGCAGTCTTCAGAAATATCTAAGTGAACACTGTGATATGTCTGACCTTCAGTCCGAAGCTGAAACTCAGACCAGTCATAAAAGAAAGCACAAGTAAAACTTTTTTTTATTTCACAAACATATCTTTGATTGCTAAGAATTTATGATCTTGTCTTTTATACATATCTGTGGTGCTTGCATACTGCAATATCACCACATAATATAGTCCAAAAAGTGGAAGCTTGTAAACTTTTTATAAATGCAAAGCCGTGTACACTTGTGCACTTCAAAAATTCCTTGTATACTGTACCTTCTTGCACATCTGTTTCCTGTGTGTGTTGTTATAAATCAAACTGTAACTTTAGGAAAAAACATTCCAAAAGCACATTTGTAATTACTTATGACCGCTTTCAACTTTTTTTCTTTAGACCAAATCCCCTGTACACATATAGTGACTCAGAGGATGAGCAGCCCACCAAAAAATGGTTTCCCCAGGCCCCTCGAGTGAAAATACCAGGTAATAAAATACTGTCTAGTGTCTTTGTACATATCTGTGTGTGACACAAGGAAACGTTTGACAAGTTGTCTGTATTCTTAAATACTTAAAAAAAAATTTTCTTTTTCTGTCAGACCTGACGAGAGCTGTTAATGAACTCCGTGAGGAGGTCAGAGCCATCCGCAATGAATCGGTATATGCTGGGGTACTGCCTCTGGATTTGCCCTTGCACAACATTGAGGAGCTAAACAATGCAGAGGCAGCTCTTCAATCACAAGAGGCAAATAAGGCAATGGTAAGTATATAAAGGTTATGTACACTTTGTAACTATAAATTGTAATAGCTGTCAGATGTGATTTAAATACATAACAACGGCCTGTTGATTAAACACACAAGCACTTGCCTACACATTTAAGACATGAGACACGCTAATTCCATCTCTTAAAATGTGTCTATAGGTGAGACGCTTTGCCTTGATTGGAGCCTGACGCAGCAGTTAGGGGCAAACTCTATGTCCGAGTTTGTCTTTGCACAAGCAGTGCAGAAATGGCTCCGATACGCCCCAGATCGTTTGGGTGGGTGCAGGACGCACATCATGCAAAAAAATTACAAACTTCTGTGAATCATATAAACGTAAATAGGAAACTGTCTTTTAATAAAGTATTTAGCAAACGAAACATGCCTATTGACCTTTTTTTGTTTATTTTTTTTCTCTCTTACATCACATGCAATGCTGTCTTATTTTAGGATATTAATATTGACATGATACATTGTGAGACATTTGGGTTTTTTTTATAAAGGGTGTCCAATTTAAGGAATAAGTACAATTATGTGTTTAGGTGGTTGAAGTATTGATGGAAACATGCAGTAGTTTAGTATTGGTTAAAATACCTATAAAGAAAGGTAGATTTCCAGTCATGATTTAACTGTTGTTTTAATAAAAAGCAACTGTGCGAAAGACGTGGAAAATCAACACCATAGCTCAACAGTGTTTCAATATCAGAATCTGACATTGCTTCAATGTCAGCAGTATTAGAAAATATAACGTTGAATCAACGTCAGGTTTCAACATTGATTCAACATCAAAACCTGACGTTGTTTCAACGTTAAAAAAGGGTGCAAGAGTGACGTTAGGTCAACGTCACACTTCAACGTTGATTCAATGACACAGCCTGATATTGACTCAACATTGTTTCAATGTTTCCTTGCTATCTGGGCCAACGCCTGAAGGATGTCGGTCTGCAGATCAACTTCAACAAAAGTTCATTTGGAAAGACATCTATTCTGTTCTTGGGACACGTCATTTCCAAGGATGGCCTAAGCCCCAGCCCAGACCACCTGACGGCCATCGCCAAAGCTCCTGCACCAAAAGACATGGCTGCTCTTTGTTCCTTCTTAGGCTTGACTTTGTGGTTCAGCAAATTCCTACCAAACTATACAACTGTGGTTGAACCACTCCATAAGCTACTTCAGACAAGTCAGACGGCTGAACTTCAATGGACTGATACAGCAAATGAAAGCTTCAACAAACTGAAGGAAATGCTACTAAAAAGCCCAGCACTGGCAATCTTCAACCCAAATCTGCCAACGTTCATCACCGCTGATGCGTCAGATTATGGTCTTGGAGCTGTTCTGACCCAGATGAACTCAAACAATGAGCAACGGGTTGTTGCTTTTGGTTCCCGCACCCTGTCCCCAGCCGAGAGGAATTATTCAACAATTGAAAAAGAAGCCCTCGCCTGCGTATGGGCCATCGAAAGATAGAGGAAGTACATATGGGGACGCAGATTTACTCTGAGAACTGATCACCAGGCCCTCACCACCCTGTTAAGTACTAAGGGGATGAACAGAGCTGGCATGAGGATAGCACGTTGGTCAGCCAGACTGATGTGTTTCCAGTATGACTTAGAGTACCGTCCAGAAAGCCAAAATGTTATCGCTGACTGTATGTCCCGTGTTCCCCTGCATACCACAAACACAAGTGAAGACTCTGAACAGGACTTAATCACAGAGATTGCTGAAATTTCTCCTCAGCTAACAACGCTTCCACTGGCTGACTTCAAAGCAGAATGTGAAGACTGTCCTGAATTAACAAAACTAAGACAGATCGTTCTTTCGGGCTGGCTGAAAGTATGCAAATCCTTACTAGATGACGTCAAACCCTACTTCCTGGTCCAACATGAACTGGCAGCAGAGTCACCGCTGATATTTAGAGGAACACGGCTGATCGTTCCCAAATCGCAGGGTGAAAAAGTAGTGCATCTAGCCCATGAAGGACATCAAGGCATGGTCCGAACCAAACAACGCCTGAGAGATCTATATTAATGGCCAAACATGGATGAGCTGGTCCACTAAATATTGTCCACATGCACAACCTGCCAATCATGTGACAAGACAGCAGCTGTTTCGCCTGCACCGTTACAACCCATCAAATTCCCAGAGGGTCCGTTTCAACATGTTGCTGTCGACATTGTTGGTCCGTTTGAACAAGGAACCTATGACTGCAGGTTTGCCATCACACTAGTCGACTATTTCAGTAAGTGGCCTGAAGTCGCATTCACACCAAATGCCTCAACTGCGACAGTGGTTGCATTCCTGACTTCTATTTTTGCTTGTGAAGGAAATCTTTATGAAATTACAACTGATAATGGTCCACAGTTCACATCAGCTGCCTTTGCTAAGTTTCTCGCTGAAAGGGGCATAAAACACATCAGGACAAGCGTCTATCATCCTCAAGCAAATGGATGTGTGGAGCGCTTTAATAGAGTCCTGAAGGACTCCATACAGACAGCACAAGCTACTCAGCAACCATGGAAAACTGTGATTACAGAACCGCTTCAAAATAATCGAGCTACTCCCCATGCTACAACCGGTGAGTCCCCTTTCCAGCTCCTCAGAGGAAGAGCCATGCGGACTAAACTCAATATCCTGCCACCACCGAAGGATGCTGGGCAATATGACCACATCAGATCCAAAGTAACATTGACACAGAAAAGAAGTGCACTTTACACAGACAGAAAGAGAGGTGCTAAACCTACTATAGTGACTATGGGTGCTTCAGTGAGAGTACGGAAGCCATTCCATGTGGGAAAAGGAGAGCCACAATACACCAACCCGCTGGAGGTACAGCAGCAGACGGGTGAGAGTTCTTTCATCCTCAGCGATGGGAGAAGATGGAATGCAGCACGTCTCTCACTCGTCCCAGAGAACTCAAAACACACGCAAAGAGCTGATACAGAGGCGGAAAACATCAGCTCAGCACAGACTGCTACACGTCCCACCCTGCAGAGGGACAGACAACCACCAAGATGGACAAAAGACTTGATTATGAAAAAGGTCAGAGGTAAAAAAGAAAGGAGAAATATGCAGATGTGAGAAATGACTGTGAATGAAAAGTGCATTTGAGTTTCATTACCTATCTTTAATTCCAGCTGTGACTTCTAATGAGCTGAGAAGAAGGCACATGTTTGTTCCTTTTGATTCAGCGTTGATCCGGGGCACGTTTACTTTGCCATTACAGTTCTTTTATCAGGATATATATAAAACTGTTCTGAAGTTACTAATTGCCTCAAAAGTAAAAGGCTGTTGAATGTTTCATGTTGTGCTGCAAGGGAGAGAGTATTATTTGAGAAAAGGGGGAGATGTTGTGTTTACAAGGTTCTATAATAAAGGAAGAAAATTAGTACTTTGATGTTACCCTGTCAGACCAGGGGTGCCACTAATGAGCCTGGGCAAGAGAGAGGAGAGAAGAAGAAAGTAGAGAGAGAGGTAAAAGGATGGAGTGCCGCTGTAAAACCTGAAATAAAGTGTTGAACCCAGACGTCGTCTCCGCTACCTGATTACAAACTCAACAATGTATTTTGTTAGCGTCTCTTCTGAAGCCTGATTTTTCCACTTTAAAGACTTTTAAGACTTAATGTTGCAGCAGTTATCCTCTTGAATACGGTCCGGTTTTGCTAACATAGTTGATAACATGTAACTATGGTCCTGTTTGTCAATATCCACTGTTACGGCAGTGTCATCCAGATGTATGTCATTTTAAATCAAGATGGCAGTACTGGCGGCAGATGTCATCCTGTGGTTGGATTTTGCAAGTGTCTGACCAAAATTACCGTTGCCTGACACTTTGCTTGACAAACCTGGAGATTCACTTACCTCTGTGCCAGTACTTACCAAAATATTGTGTCTTGCACCTCTCCCAGTTGACCTCACATGAATACATGGAAAACTGAAAATAGTTGGAACTCATGTGCTCCTCGGGCGACAGTTTCCATATAGAAGCATAACAAAAGAATGAGGAACTTTTTATTTAATGTTGTTTTTTATAACACAACACATTTTGTATAGTTATAGATTTTATTAACCTTTGAGTCCATGGTGAAGGCATTTTCTTCAAAATGAGCACTGTTAAGACGAGATGGTCCAGGTTTCCAGTTCATCCTTTTTTATGTTTGCCAGGGACTGATTCAGTCTTGCTGCATCACCTACAGGAAAACTGAATAAAAAAAAACAGAACATGCAACTATGACAATTATTTTACTGGCTACTGTAAGAAAATGCAATAGTTGTTTTAAAAAGATTTTTTTTAAAAAAATCTTGAAAAAAGGAACATACAGCCACAGAATTTTTATACAAATACACTGCTGAACAGACTTGAATCTTCAGATTATGTTAAATAAATATGTGATTATGAGTTTGGTAAAACCAACATAAAAACATGACAATGTTACTTTATATCATGGAATATTTGTAGGGGATCAGTATGTTAACAGCACTGGAGAGGAGATGTGTGATGTATTGAATGCACCATATATTACAGATTCAGAGAATAGACATTTCTTACATATTAGCAACTTTCATACATAGTGAAAATAAAATATAAAGATGGGGTCACATAATTTAACAGATTATTAACTCACTAAATCAAAATCTTCCATAAAGGAAACAAAAAAAGCAGCCTTTTTCTTTTTAACTAAAGTC